GGCGCACACCTTTAATCCCAGCACTTGGGAGGCAGAGGCAGGTGAATCTCTGTGAGTTCGAGGTCAGCAGCCTGGTCTACAAGAGCTAGTTCCAGGGCAGGCTCCAAAAGCTACAGAGAAACCCTGTCTCCAAAAAAAAAAAAAAAAAAAAAAAAGCACTTGTCTGAATTTTGTCTCATTTGCTTAGTCATTCTTTAAATGTAATATGTATAAATATGTAGGTTTTTCTGGCCCAGTATTTCCATGTTCTCACCCTCCCACCCCTCTTTTTTTCTTAATAGGTCTCATGCAGCACAGGCTAGCCTCAAACTCAGTAGACAGCTGACAATGACTTTGAACTACAGATCCCCCGTCTCTATCTCCCAGGTGGTAGGATCACAGGCATGTGCCACCACACAAATACAAACTGTTTTCTTACATAAACCTAATAATCAAAATTTTAACAAGCTATTGATATAATGGCACCAGCCTTATTAAAATTTTATCCTTTCTTTGGGGAAGTGTATATGGTGCGGCTTTGCTAGAGGAAGTACATTTCTGCAGGCAGGTTTGGAGATTAAAACTCTGTACCACTTCAGGTTTTCTACTTCAGGATTGTGATTCAAAATGTGAGCTATCAACTTCCTGCTCCTCCCACCATGTCTACTGCCTGCTGCTATGCTTCCCCACCATGACTACTATGCCTCTAGGCCCATAAGCCAAAAATAAACCCTTTCTTCTATAAGTTGTTTTTAGTCGTGTTTTATCACAGCAATATAAAAGTAACTAACAGAGACGTTGGTACTGAGAGTACACTCTGTTGCTTTGACAAATATGATCATTGCTCTTATTATTATTTGGAGCAATGTGGAAGACCTTACAGCTTTGGACTAGAAAAAAAAATGGTTGAATTCTGTAAGCAGAGTTTAGCAAGCTGTTCTAGTAGGATCCTGGAAGATAGCAGTACTGAGAGTAATGCAGATGGCAAAGGCCCAGCTCAAGAGGTTTCAGAGGTAGGCAACATTAGCAACTGTGCTAGAGGCCATTGTGACATTCTGGCAAAGAAATCTGGCTGTCTTCTGTCACTGGCTTGAGCTGTGGGACCCTGTAGGCTGTGAATATGTGTTGTTCTCATTGGTTGATCAATAAATTGGTAGGATAGAGCCAGACAGGAAATTCAAGCAGAGACACAGGTGAAGAAGGATGAAGGCTAGGAGATGCCAGCCAGCCGCTGAGGAAGCAAGACATGTAGAAAATGAGGTCACATGGCAATACATAGATTAATAGAAATGGGTTAAATTAAATGTAAGAGCTAGCTAGTAATAAGCCTGAGCCATTGGCCAAGCATTTATAAGTAATATTAAGCTTTTAAGTGGTTATTTTAAAAGTGAATGTGGCACTGGGCAGGATGAAAAGCCTCCATTTACAGGCCTGAGAATCTGATGGAGGCTAAATGAAAAAGTAATAGACTATCTTAGTCAGGGTTCCTATTGCTATGAAGAGACACCATGACCACCGTAACTCTTACAAAGGAAAACATTTAATTATGGTGGCTCACTTACAGTTCAGAGGTTCAGTCCATTATCATCATGGTAGAATACGGGGGCATGCAGGCAGACATGGTAGTGGAAAGGTAGCTGAGTGTTCTACATCTTGGCTTGCAGGCAACAGGAAGTGGTCTGAGTCACTGGGAAGAATCTTGGGCATATATGAGATCTCAAAGTCAGCCTCTATAGTGACATACTTCCTCCAAGAAAGCAAACCTCCTAATAGTGCCACTCCCTTTGGGGGCCACTTTCTTTCAAACCACCACATGCAACAATTTCTTTGATAGATGTAATTTCAAGAGAGCATAATATTGAATCTTTGATATGGATTGTTATTAATGACTCTTGTACAAGTCTACAGTAAAAAAGAGCAAGTGGGGCAGAAAGAAATAAAATGTGCACAGTTTAAACAAAAAGAGCACCAGAAAACATAATACTGCAGTCAAGGCTTGTGTTGTGCTGCAATTATTGAGGAGATAAATGTCCTTAAGGAGAGTCCTGCTCTGCCCTGAGACAAAGAAGGGAGACCTCGGAACAAGACCCCAGTCAGCTAAGCTTCCAATGTGTAAGATAGCCTAAGAGGTTTTCTGCTCTTTGAAAGCAACTGAATATTGCTACTAATTTGGTTAACTGAAGGTGTATCCAACCAGAGCTGGAGCCAACCTTGGCAGTGCCAACCAGTGTGGTACTGGCTTTAGAGGCATGAAGGATACCAGAGTAGAGGGGGTGTGGATACTTCCTCTGCAGTTCCAGGGGGCTGCTGAGGTCAGGCAGCACGTGACTGGGAAGGCCGTGAGACAAAAATGTGATTTATGTAGGACCTAGTTTTGGAATGTTAGGGATGTTCAGAGATTTTAATTTATATATTAGGAGACTGCCTCGCATCATTATAAAAGGGCACATTATACTTTATTATAACTTTCTGAATTTTATAAACATTTATTTAAAATTAATATTTTTAAATAGAGCAAGTACTAATAATTTACCAACCTTAAAAATGCAAGATTCCTTTAAGTAAAAGAAATTATACAACTCTGAATATCTCCTGTGGGTCAAACAATGCTTATTAAATGGTTAACTATTAGTCTAGCACTCAATTTTAATCATTTAAGATTAGCTTAAAAAATATAAGCTAATATAGGGGCTGGAGAGATGGCTCAGAGGTTAAGAGCATTGCCTGCGCTTCCAAAGGTCCTGAGTTCAATTCTCAGCAGCCACACGGTGGCTCACAACCATCTGTAATGAGGTCTGGTGCCCTCTTCTGGCCTGAGACATACACACAGACAGAATATTGTATACATAATAAATAAATATTAAAAAAGAAATTATTGATTTATAATCAATCTTCACAATAAAAAAAAATTGCATTTGGCATTAGCACCAGTCTGACCAAAAGCCCAAACAAGTGTAATAAAATAGTTAGGCTACCAAGTCAAATAGGACATTTTAATTTCTTTTCAGAAAACTCTGACTTTGTAAGAATATCAGCAGAATTAACCCACTCTAAGAACACTGCCACAGTTAGAAATTCCAACACTAATGATATTCTAATTTCCTAACTTTGGGACAGTATTAAGTTAATTCTGTGACTCTGAGTTAATTGAGTGACTCTGGCTGAAGCTGCATGGTAACACACGTTCATTAGAAAAGTCAAGCAGATGCAGCTAGGAAACTTGCAAATGAAAAGATGGAAGATGTGGGGATGGGGAAGAGAATGCAATAGTAAAAGCTATTACATCTGCCACTAGCAATATGTAAACATAGCTGTGATGTGAAATTTCTCGATATAGTCCAAAGCAGCTGCTGCTGTCCCCCTACACACTTTGAAGTCTGAGCCTTATGTTGGCCTTAAACTCCTGATCTTGATCCTCCTACCTCTAGCCCCCAAGCACTGTGGTTACAGGTACCGCCACCACATCCACCTTATAATTTCTTTTTAAACAGCAACTTTACCATGCACTTAATGTTTACCGATCAATTATTTTATTCATGAGGATTCAAATTCTGGTATGTTTGAATCCTGCAGCACGCCGCTCCGGCCAGCAGAAGAGACGACCGCAACAGGATTCTTCTCAGAACACACTTTATTGGAGCACTTACACTTGAGGTTGTAGAGAGGCAAAAGACCCCGTCCCCGTGAAGCAGAAGAATATATACGGTGCCAGACAAAGCCCTGACGTGTCATCAACCCAATGGCTCAGGCCAGAATGGAGTGATCGTGCTTAAATTATGATTGGCCAGATCGGATGGCCAGATCGAAAGACTCCCCGCGTTGGGGGGGGGGGGGGAACGGCTCGGGCGCCATGAGCGCATGCGCACAAGTTGTCTGTCAAGTTTGACGTGGAACAGCAAACGGCGCCCAGGCTCCGGGCGCGCTACAGAATCCAAGTGATTTTTCCACATCAAAGAGTCAAGGCTGCAACCTAGGTAAATTATATTGCCTCTGGCATTAGTGCATACAGAGAAAAGCAAGAGTACATTGGGTTGGGGAGAATAGTTTAAAGAAATTCAGAGCAGCAATTAGTTGATTCACCAGTTTCTCAAAGGATCTAACCGATGGTAGAGAAACTAGACTTACCAAGAATGTAATATGGGAAAACTAAATCTTAAAACAACAAATGGCTGCGATGCGCGCGCGCGCGCACACACACACACACACACACAAATACGATGTTCAAATTATAAAAGCAAGCCAACAAAGATTCATCCCCCAAGCAACAATATCACCAATATAACTTTATACTTCTGACTGCTCCTTCGCTAGCCCTCAGGCTACCCCCATGTGGCAACCATTAAAATGAATTTTATGCTATGCCCTACTTTTTCCCATTATAATCTTTTTTTTAAAAAATTTTTCGAGACAGGGTTTCCCCGTAGCTTTTTGGTTCCTGTCCTGGAACTAGCTCTTGTAAACCAGGCTGGCCTCGAACTCAGAGAGATCCGCCTGCCTCTGCCTCCCGAGTGCTGGGGTTGAAGGTGTGCGCCACCACCGCCCGGCTTCCCATTATAATTAACACACGATTATTTGTGCTTGCTCTTAAACTCCAAAGGCTGTGTGCTGTCCTCCACAAAGTGGTTCCTTCATTCACTGTATTTTAAAGATCGCATCTATTCTACTGTCATTGGTTATTTGTTCTTTTCCACTTGTTTTAGAGTCATTCAGGCCATTTCCCCGATTACTCTTTTAGGAAATAAAAGAAATTTTTCTTTGTTTCATTCTCAGTATGTTAACCCTATCTAAGCTGTGTCCAGTTAGACGTTACTCAGATTTAGCCCACAGCTTTTACACTGTTGGGAGGTTTTGAGAATTAAAGTTGGGTTGCAAGAGTAGAGGTGGATTGAGAGTACCAAGCATCCTGACACTGTCAACAGACAAGTTCATAGAAACAGAAAAGACAACGTATGGGGCCAAATAGTATACTTTGCTCACAGAGAGCCCCTCAGAACAGCAACATCCAGGGAAGAGATACCTACGGCATTTCGGGACTTTAGGAAGTGCCACCATTGCTGGAAAGAACTGAGCGCCCTCAAACGCGGAAGCATAAAAACCTAGCGCAGTAGACACTGGATGCGGTGTCACACAAACCGCGCTCCGCTGGAAACAGCCTCCGCACGCTAAAGAGCCCGAGTGTGTGTGAATAAAGGGGTGTGCGGGGGGAGGCAGGGCCAGCGCCTCATCTAGCCGCTGCCGACCCTCTCTCACTATTCTGGACAAAGCAGCCTCGCGACAGACCAGCGACAGGGCCGTGACTGTACTCTCCGAGTCAGAGGTCTATAGATCTCTGGTCGGACTGTTTGGGAGGTGCGCTGCCTCCTACTTCCGGTGGCGGAGAGGAGCAGTTGCTATGGTAATCTAAAAAAGGCGGAGGTCCGTCCGGCTGCGCTGAGAGATTCGCAGAACTACTGAAGAAAATTGGCTGCTCTTCTTGGTTTGTGAGCTGAAATTAGGTAGCCACCGGCACCCCCTCTCGCTCTCTCGCTCGCTCTGCCCCTCACTGTGTGGCTGCCTCTCCCACCAGCTACGTTTACTTTTGTGTCCTAACGGCCCGTGCCTGCTCCTGAAACACAGGGATCCAGCAGCATTGTGGCCTGCGGAATACAAAAACGGAGAGAGATATGTCTCCGATTAGCTGTGGCTGTTACATGGTGCAGCCCCGGTGACTGGATGGCTCTCTGTTCTCACTCGGCCCTTTAGACGCCTTGGGCGCTTGTTAACAGTTTATTTTTCCTGCTTATTGTGTGTCTGGTTATTTATGGATCCGTTTGCTACAATGTAGTCTCCAAGCCCCTGTCTCAGTCTTGGACTAGAGTTTTAAATAAAAGGGGGTTTCCGAGCCCTAGGGGTGCAATTATACATATATTTAAGCTTCAGTTTAGACTCTCTTCACAGGAAGGGAAAGAATAGAATTCTGGAACATTTCTGCCATGGGAGTTCCATGTGAGAATAACCCTATTTGGAAAGAGCGTTTGAAGAAGATCCTTAAAAATATGTTTTTAAATTGCTGGCTGTAAAGTGAGTGCTCGTTCTTCCTTATTGGAACAGTTTTCTTTCACATTTGTGAGATGGCGTGCACGCATATGTGTTTAAAACTGATGTTTAATTATGGCGGTACCAATTTGCAGTAACCAGACTGTGACACCGCATCCCTATGGGGTCCTTCTAAATCTGGTGTAATATGAAAGTGTCAGGCAGGCGGTCTGTGTATTATAAATAGGGTACTTCATCCATGATAAGCGATTATTATCTTTCTTTCCCAAGTGTAAAAGACCTACATAATTCACAAAGGTGCCAGTGATTTAGGCCCCCTGAGTAAGAATCCAATGAGTCCTGAAGGGGACGCTACCTGTGCCATCTTATTGTTCAACGTGAACTATTCAATTTATTAGATTGAAATGTATTTTTAGAAGTCAACGCAGGCTAAAGTAATGTTGGCAAGCCATTAGACCACCAGCACAATTTAGCACCTCATAGTAGCCTTTGTTCAATAAACCTTCATCCTCCTTAAACGGAAGAAACCACTGAATTTTCACAGCTTCCTGCTAACTGGGTGACATCTCTGTCCCTCGATCTCATCATCTGTAAAATGGACAAAAAGTACCTGGTCAGTGTAGTAAAAAGGATGAAATAAGATGTACGATTGTGTATTAATGTCTTATGAACAGAGGCTCTGTACAGACCCCAAATATTACTGCTAATGAAGGAACTCAGTAAAGCCCAATGGTAATAAATGAGACCAGCTAGACAGTGATTTGACACATGCTGTGTTATGGAAATGTTAATGTTAATGAGTTAGTTAATCCTGCTCTGGAGGGTGGGTGTCACCTGCAGCTGATTTACATAAAACAGCTCGCTGTTAGGGAATCTCACCCCTCTATAGTTTCTTTCACATGACTGTGTCCTGTAGTATTCTGTATGCTTCCTGTTTGTAAACAGATGGAATCTTAGCAACCTTTTGAAGTCTCCCATGACCTCTTGTTTTGAGATGATAGGTGTATACACATTTTCTTTGTTCTGATTTCTTTTATATTATACTACAACTTTGTTCTTTGGGATATTTTATATTTGAGGAATTATATACGTGTGTGTATATATATAATTAGAACTCAATTGTTAAAGATTTTATTTAACGTGTACTGATGAGTTCATATAGAGGTTATAACATTTGCCTTTTTTATTCTATGAGTAAAATCTTTACTAGCCCAGTGCTCCACCTCATGGTGTTACATTTGCGTTTTAGGTGATTTACCTAGACTAAAGTAAAATTTTAATTGTTTTCTAATAGAATGGCCGGCAATCCTGGAAGTGATGCAGCTTTGGGTACTCAGAAATCAATGTTCTCGGGGAGTCCCCGAACAAAGAAATTTCCACTAACTGAGCAGGAGGCATTTTATATGAACTGTAGAGCCGCCTACTTAACTATCTTCAAAAGCAGCCTGGAAAACATTATTTCTAAGGATCAACTTTACTTAGGTAAATTTTTACCTGATTTGTTGAAAGTTATTAGACTGAAAAGTCTGAATTAGAATTATGTCATCGAGTCACTCCAGTTTCACAGTGAGACAAGCAACAGGACTGTAAGAAGCAATAACTGTTTCTATGGTTACATATTCTAGGGGCTTCCAGATTATACACATAGAAACATATATGTATATATATATATATACAAGTCCATATATATGGAGGGGGAGATTGTGTATTCAGAGCTTCTATCAGTTACTACGTGCTTAAGAGTTGTTACTGTTGCCGTTTTTCAGTTGTCCTGGTGGTGCTTTAGATTTATAATAGTAGAATTAAAACCCTTTGGCCGTCTGACTCACTAGTCTGAATTTTGACTTGCATTAAGAAAAAGATAAAAAAATTGCAAGACTGGGGTCAAATGACGTAAAAGAAAAATATAGATAAATGAAAACTTAGAAGAGAATTGGGGGTTGGGAGGTTTTGCTTCTTATTCTACCCATTATCATATTTTAAATTCTTCTGGCTGAGAAGTCCTCCACATCGCTAAAGGTGATGTTTATCAGGCTGTTAATAACCCGGAGGGCTTGGTGCTGGTAGTCTTCAGTCCCTGGAGGGCTGGATGCTGGTAGTCTTCAGTCCCTGGAGGGCTGGATGCTGGTAGTCTTCAGTCCCTGGAGATGGGTAAATGACAGTAGCAGGTGATGCCGATGGCTTGTGTCAGTTTCTTCAAGGCTAATATTGAGAACAGAGAAACTGGGTTTCTTTGCCATCTTTAGAAGTGATTTCCTTAAACCAAAATTCTGCTGTGTTTCTGCGAAATGTCTTGGGTTTTTATACATATGATCTCTTTCTAAGAAAGTTCATTTGGAGGAATGATGAAAATTGACAAGATTAAAATATATTTGCTCTCCATAAGAAGACGTTAATTAAATAGTTTAAGAACAAATGCACACGACGGCAGCAATTTTAAAAAATTATCTGTAGCTTTACTTTGACTTACATAATTTTAAAATTAGTAAACTTTCATCCTGAATTTTAAATACTTGTGCTTAATTGGCATATATTAAATAGTATAGGCAGAAACTCAGTTAATTAAAACTCCACTTTGCCACTGTTGGTAAAATATCTGAGTTTTTTTTCTTTTGAAAATAGAAACAGTGGGGGGGGGGGTGGAGAGATTGTTCAGGGGTTAGGAGCACTGCCTGCTCTTCCAAAGGACCCGGGTTCAATTACCAGCATCCACATGGCAGCTAACAACTGTTTTGTAACTCCAGTTCCAGAAGGTCTGACACCTTCACACCAATGCACATAAAATAAAGCACATTAAATAAATTATTAAAAACAAAAAGAAAATAGAAATAGTGGCTGTGCATGGTGGTGCATGCCTTTAATTTCAGCACTCGGGAGTTAGAGGAAGGTGGATTTCTGTGAGATCAAAGCCTGGTCTGCAGAGAGTGTTCCAAGGCAGCCAGGACTGTTCCACAGAGAAGCTTTGTCTCAGGGAAAAAAAAGGAAGGAATGAAGGAGAGAAAGGAAGAAAGGAGACATTGAACTTGTTAACTTGAAAAGTTTAACATACCTTCCTCTGGTACAGTTCTTGTACTGTTAATCAGTTCACATGTATTAATAAGTTACTGTCAGATAAGTGAAATTATCTGGGCAGAAAACAAATCTGGTTTTGCATTTCTGTTGTCACACATGATTTTGGTTTTGGTTTAAGGAATATTAATATTCTTTGTAGCACTGTTAAGTTAAAGATAGTTCGTACAAAGGAATATGTGCATCAGTGGCATGTTTTTCTTACTACTTTTTTCTTACATGCTTCTGCTCTTAGCACGTAACATATGCTCTGACATTTCCACTCTGAGTCAGACTCAGCAGGACCAGCGCCACTACAGACACATGGCCAGGCTAAGTACACCGTAAGCGGATCAGTAGATAGACGTCAGCCTTGCAGTATCTGCACCTAGGGAGACTTCTCAGAGGAGAGACCTTTCCTCCGAAGGACATATTTTGGCATAATTAATTTTATTTTGAGACAGTTATTCTTTTTAAATCAGTATTTTAAAAGAAGTGGTGCTATAGTTAATGCTAGAGCCTTTGCACAGGCCTGGAGTTCAAGCCTCAGCACCTAAAAAAAAAGACACACCCATAAGATTCTTAGGCAAATAGAGTAGTCAGGCATGAAGGCACAAGCTTACCATCCCAGCACTCAGAAAGCTGAGGCAGGAGGATTATCTTAAGTTTGAGGCCAGCCTGGGCCATAGTAGAGACTCTCCAAAATGGGGGGAAAATTGAAATTTTCTTTTGTTATTGATGGTAGTGACAAGTGTTTGCCGAGCTGCTATGCCTAAGAGTTGGTAAAATGGATTTTCTAAATATTTATCAAAAGAATTTCCTTCCCCAAATAGATTTTTAACCTTCAAATTACAACTTCATTAGGTTCTACTTTATCCTCCCATTCTAGTCAGTGGAGTTGACTAGGAATAGATCCCTAAATGCATATGCTATTTCTCTGATTCTTTTGGTAAATGAATTATGGAATTGTTTGTTACATATTAGGCAAATACTTAGGGAA